AGATCTCGGGGTTGTGTTGTACCGATTGAACTTTTTATATATATATAAAGAAGATAGAAGGGAAGAATGAAAGGTTGTATGTATTAAAATTAGATTCTTAAATTTGAATGTCACTCATTACAAATGTTTTTTTTTAGCTACAAGTAAGATGTTAGTTATTGTCTTTGGTGGCTTTAGGGATAAGGTAAGCTTCAAATAGTATTCTTTGTCACCAAGTCTACTAGTCAAGGCGACTACAACAGCCTTTTGCTCTAGATTTTTCACCTATAGGGCTTTCGCATTGAAACACGTAACATAGTCTTTTAAAGACTTGTTTCTACCTTGATGGACTAACATAAGATTCAATATAGTTTTCTTAATTCTCCTACTGCTGACAAAACAGGAGAGGAAAAAATGGCTAAGCTTTTTAAATGTGATGATCGACCTTGGTTTAAAGCTATAGTACCAAGATTGATCTGCCTTTTTAAGGGTTATGGCCAATCTTTTACACATCAAGGCTTCATTTGCGCCCTACATCTTTATATTAGTTCTATAAAGTTTCAAATGATAAAAAAGGATCAAAGGTACCATCGTAAGTCTCAAGGTCAACATTTTGAATCCCTTTGGGGGCATTATTCTATCAATTTCTTCGATGAATAACAAAGTCTTCAGGAAATTTAGCTCGTCTTCAAAAGCAGTAGCTTTCCCTTTTAGCTCTTTTTTCATAGCCTACATTTTGGCCTTCAGATCTTTGTTCCATTAGGGTTTTTAGTCGGTTTGTTTGAATTTTTATATGGTTTCATAGGTGGAGTTGTGGTTGGGATAATGGTGATAAATGGCTAGGGTGGCATGTTCTTCTTCCCTAGTGGCTGAAGAGATTAACTCCTTCATAATTCAGTTGTCTCTATATTGGTTGTCTACTAAGGTGATTAGAAGGGTTACTTTTGAGGCTTGGGGTGGTGTTATGCTTTGGACCATTTGTTTAAGGGCTTAGATTTGTTAATTCAAAAGGTTGGAATTGCTCCATGGTTGGTTCTACTTGCATCTACGTAAGTCAATCTATATGTTGGCTATCGTGAGTTTCTGTCCTAGCCGGGACGGTTGGTTTTCCTTTCTCGTTGGCTCTTTTTCTATATGGCATGGTGTTTGGCTTGGCTAAAGAATAGGCCCCTTACTTGGCACGTCAAATGTTTGTGGTGAACTCCGAGTTAAAGGTAAGGACTTTGAAGTCACGAGAGAAAGAGAACAATTAAGAGCAAAGGCAGAGGGCGTTCCTTACGTTTGTGCTTCGACATTCAAGTCAGAGGTTGGCTAAAAAAGGTCAAAAGGAAAAGAAAATAGAAAAGTAAAAGAGAAAGTTAAATTCGATTAGATAGTACCTGAATGGCTCTTTTAATAGGCGAAAGATAAGGGATCTATAAGGTAAGATAGTGACATGGTTGAGCTAATGTGGCATTATATGTGTCAGGTCAACTTAACATGTGAGGTCGACCTAAAAGTAAAAAATGTTCTTGATTGTCTACTGACAGTATCTAATGAGAAAAAAGACAATTTATTCTCTGAACCAAAAAATACTCCTAACACCATATTTGTAAGAAGTTATGTAAAAGACCAGTACAAATTAGAGATCTGGACTTCAAAATTTTTTTTTTTATTTTTACTTTGTTGAAAATTATGCTACAATATCATTGGATACTTAGTTCAAATGGTTGATTCAAGTAGTAAAAAAAGTAATTTGTTATCTAGGTTTGAATAGGTTATGATAAGGTAATTTGTTTTGAATTAACTACTGGAATTAACATGAATATATATATATATATATATTTATGTAAAACCCAAAAATCTCTTTCTCACTTAATGGAAAAAAAAAATCTTATGCTCCAATTGTCAATACAAAGCAAGCAACCAAGGCAAGGAACCCAAACTTTGGCAGACCTGCTCTCTCCCTTTCTGGGGTAGTAAAATCTTGGGCGATTTGTGAGATCTGCAGCTCAAATTTGGGCCAAGGTGTTTTACCCTAAGACTAGACTTCAGGGCTCTTTTATAGAAGCCCATTCCAATGCTTATTTTTTTTTGGATAAATGGTATTTTTATTAATCCAAACAAGCAGAAAAACCCGCTATGAGTCAGCAAATCAACAAATGAAGTGTAGCATCTACCTATAGAATCCCCCAATTTTTACGCTTTGCTTCATGCTAATATTCTTGAAAAATTACTATTTATTTACTTACTCTTCATTACTTAACATGCTTTGAATGTGGGGTTTCAAAGTTCACCAATGTAAATTTTAATTTAGATGTAAAAGAATCTAATATATTTGATCTCAATTTATGTACTTAAAACAAGTCTATCAATTTCTTTAGTCGGCCAATCGGGCTTTCTTATATTTTCATCTAATGGGAAAAGAATGATAGACCATTTTTTTTCTCCCTTAAGTTACATGTTTGTCATCTTTTCCTTGCTTGGTAAGTCACGTTCACTCCATTTTTTTTTCTTGGTCTTTGCTCCCAAATTTCAAAAGGAATTAAGTCGTTGCTGTGTAGGAAGCAAACACGATAACACCCTGGAAATGGCAACCCAAATTTTTCCAAAAGCTAAAGCGGATTAAATCTCGCATCAAGCGATGGTAATATATCTTTGTTTCGGTCAAAGTTTTCGTCAAATTCCATTTCTTTGTCGTGGAAAAAAAATCATGGCTATCTATGTCCTTTATTATGAACAAATAACTTGAACAATCACGTCTAAACTTAATCAAACAAGTAAATTTTTTTTTTAATTTTAAAGGGCTCTCACATCATAAATTATACCCTCTAATGTGGTGAAAATTTTCAATTGAGTTCCTAAATAAACACTAAATCCAGCAGTTTCGTTAACAGTACAAGTAAAAAGAATTTATTGAGTCAGGATGATAATTTTATAAAATAAAAATACATATATTTATCATTAAATTACTGACAGAAAATTTCAAATAGCAAAACAAGGAAAGGGGCAGCAAGGCATCTATAAACTGAGAGATGATTTTATTTTATTTTTCAAAAAGTGAAATTAGAAGGTCAATTTTTTTGGCAAAGAAACCTTGATCAGTCGGTCCTGGTAGAATCCCATGCGTTACATGTGGTTGCCAAAGGTTCAAAAGGTGACTCTCCCTATCTGGGGTCCAGACTGGCAAATTGTATGACTATCTCTTTCAACTTTCCTAGATATAGGCTGTGACTGTGAGGCAAGCTGCGTCTGCTTGCTGAGAAACATTTTGATTCACCTCACAAAATGAAACTTTTTGCACACTAAGTTTGTAACTTCTTTGAAATCATGCATGAAATAATATAATAAAATAAAACATATAGATTAATTAAATTTAATAATTTTAAATATGATATAATAATATGATATAAAAATAATACGATTTAAAATTTTAACTAAATCATATATGAATATTTAAAATATCGATATAAATTATAAAATAATAATTTTAATGTTTTAATCTATTTGACGTAAAATAATAATATTAACATAATTTGTGAGAAGTTTACAGTTTCACCATCACTGTTGTATAGAAAACAAATTAACACTATAATATTTTTTTTTTCTTTTTGGAGAGAGTTTTAGAGTTAATTGTACGTTTGGTAATGTGAAAGATGCCACATACGACCAAAAGTTTCAGCCCCTAATTATTATATGTGAACAAATGTTGTAAAAATTCAGCAGTTTCCGTTGTGTGGAAGCAAAGGGAAAGCGTGATTAATTGTATTTGGGAGTTGTAAGAGAAACAGCCGAACCCCCTACAATTTTAATTTGGTGTGAGGGAAACTGTGGAAACTCAGACAGTGAACAGATTTTTCTTGATTCAAAAATTTTGAAGGTCAAAAGTCAATATAACTTCCACACGTTCTCAAATGATGTGACCTCACCATTGTCTTTTGTAATCAAATTTTCATTTTGAAAATTTTGGATACATTTGGTGGACTCCAATGGTCTAATACATGCCAAATGAAGTAATTAGGGTTAACTTTTTTTTTTTTTTGTAATTTTAATTATTGGAGTTTAAAACTTAAGTTCTTAGCCGATGTTAATGTTATTTAATTAATAATTTATTAGTTGAAACCCAAAATTTAAGTTTATTAATTTATATTATATTTAGTAATTAAAATTAAAATTTTAATATTTATAATCTCTTTTTTATCTCGAAATTACAACTTTTTTTATATATAAAAAACAATTCATTTATTGGTATAATGTTAGCTAACTAAGAATAACTAACAAAATTAATCAAGTAGAATATTGACTAAATCATATTGAGGGCCTTTAAATAAAAAAAAATCCAATTATTAAAAACTAAAATTTTATTAAATTAACAAATATTAACCAAATTAATTTATATTTGACAAAGTGCTTTGTGTTCTACTTAATAAAAATGGCTAATTTTGAGATTTTTTTTTGTTTTTTTAAATTCAAGGGAATTAATTGAAATCATTATCAATGTGTCTTACTGTTAGAAAGATCGATTCCTTTTCCAAAAAACAAGAAAATAAATGAAAATTTTAATATGTATATGTGACCGTGTTGAATTGAATAGAATTGTTAAGTATTTAATTTAAAATTAATTAATAAAAAAATTAAAATTTAATAAATGTGAAATAACACCATTTAATTTTTTTTTTCACATATAAGCCCAATACTAATATTAACCACTATGATTTTCTTATGCCCAAAAGAAAATTATGAGAATGTATACTATGTTGATGGGGCAGTTTTGTTTTAATAAAACAGATCGAAAAAAAAATTATACGCATTCAAATTCGAATTTTAAATTTAAATGCCACTGATTTTTTTTAAGCTTGGTCACTGATCTTCAGTGAAAGCACTGTGTTCTCCCACTGACTTTTCGAATACGTTTACAACTTTTTATTATATATACATATATATTGTCTTACTCCAAAATTCATTTCTCATTTCTTCTCATGTGTTCATTTGATGGGTGTTTAAAGTAACTCATTACTGCAAAAGTAAATTGTCTGACAAAGATGAAGAAGAAGAAGATCATGTCAGAAGACCCAGCTGTTGCATGTAGTTTCACTTTGTTTATATTCTTAATTCTGACTACAGGTATGTTATAATCCTTTTTTATCAGTTTTGGTCTGGTTTAATTAGATTCTAAGTTCTAGTTCCAATATCATAAATGATTACAACAATTCTGTTTAGTATCATTACTTGCTTATATTCAGTTATTGATTGGTGTTTAAAGAGCTTAAAATCTTGCTGTTGATATTAAATTTTCTTATGCATGCATGAAAATCTTTCATGGGGCAGCCCTTTTTTTTTTTTTTTTATTTCTATTAATAAATTGATTTTGTGATTTTCTAGGTTGATTCCGATGATTTATTGCAATTTTATTTCATAGTCATGTTTTCCTATCTGTTTGACTTTAAAAAATGTCATAACCGGTTTTAGGATTGTTAGACAATTTTAAAAATATATATAAAATGTCATTATCAATATTTTTTTGGTTAAGTATGATTGGTTACATAATAAAATTTATTTTTTAATAAAATCTTAAAATTAATTTAAACTTTATTTAAAAGATAATTTTGGAGATTGTGAATGCAATTTAGATTTTTGAAAGTACGATTAAGCATGAAAAAAAATTAACATTCTATAACGCTAATTCAAAGACTATATCAATTAATCATTTGTTATCATTTAATCTTGATAAAAGTGATCTTAATTTTGATATTTAAAATTAATTTCCTCGACTCACTTTATTTATCACAATTTTTTTTATTTAATTTTTTCACACATTTCTCTTTTTTTTAATGAAAATTATTATTTCATTTTTATTTGAAAAAGATTATTTGGAATCTTGATATTGAAAATTTTTTGAAATGTTCTAGTACATTTGTAATATTAGGAGAAATTTTTTCACTTAGAGATTTTTTAGAAATCAATACTTGAATTTCTTAAAATCTCATCTTTAGAAATTTGTGCTTATTTTTAATTAATTAATATAAATAATATTCATGCATTATTATATGTAATCTTGTAAAAAAATAAATAGAAAATTTTCTTTTATTTTTCTTCCATTTTTTATTAAAAAATAAGTAAATGAAAATTTTTTGTATTGAATATCTTTCTAAAAACTCTAGTGCTTTGGTAGAATTTTAGAAAAATTTTTCACCTTAAAATTTTAAGAAATCATTACTCGAATTTTCTTAGAATCTCTTTCTTAGAATCACAAAAAATTATTTGTCATCATTTCACTTTTTTAAAAGAAAATTTTGTTAATTTTTTTATTTTTCACATTTTTCACATTTTTGTTTGATGGGTAGAAGAGAAAGAAATTTTTTTGTATTAAAATTTTTTTATAAAAACTTCAATATACTAGTAGTATTTTAAAAAAAAATTTTCTCACCTATAAATTTTGTAGGAATTACTACGCGAATTTCTTTAAAATGTCATTATCAAAAAAAATTTCTTTTTCTCTTTTTTTATTTATTAAACTTTGTACTTGTTTTGTTTTTTTCCTTTTAAAAAAAATTTAGATACTAAATGTTTTTTTAAAAAATTAAATATGCAAAGATAAATAAACAAATAACTTATCAAAATATGTGAAAAACTAAAAAATCACCTAAAAAAGACTGATCAAAGCTAATAAATAGTTCGGGCGATCCAAAGTAGTTCAACGGTCTATCGACAATTTAATAATGATTTTTTATGTTCACGGGTGGTTCATAATGGCTTAGTCTAGTTCGCTTACTATTTGCAACGATTCATGGATAGTTTAGCTAAACCATTCCAAGTTGGTTAAGGGAAAGGGTGTAGGTTGAGCATGCTGATCCCAAGTTGAGTCCAAGTCCACACTAGGTCAAGTAAGTTTTTCCTTTTTTTTTTTAACTATAAAAGCTTTTTTTTTTCAATTTTTTTTCTTTTCCCCTCCCTCTACATTCCTTCTCTCTTTCTCCAACCTTCTTTTTATTTTTTCTATTCAAACATCAACAGCCACATCTAAATCTAGAATTTTGCTACCAATCATAGCATCATCGTCATCCACCACTGCAGGTTATTAGTTACTGATGCAGAAAAAATCCCAAAAATACAAAAAAAAAAATTCTTTTTTTCTTCTTTTTTCTTGTTTTCTAGTTGGTTTTAGCCCAAAACAACTCCGAACTACCTCTATCTTTACCTAACGTCATAGCCTAAAACTTAAAATGCCCATTATTTTCATTGGCCAAACACTTCCTCCTCCTAATATGTGTTTCTCCTACCCGTTGCTTTTCTTTTTATTTGAAAACTAGGCCATAAAATGGCCTAGAATAGATCCGATCTACTCATTTTTTTTGGCTTTTTATGTTTTTGATTTTATTTTTCTACGTTTTTTTGCTTGTGTTGATTGTGGCTTTCTTTGAGGTTGTATTTTTTTTTTTATGTCTGTTGCAATTTTTTAGAATGGTAGGTTTTGATAGGCACTGGTTGTTTTAATAGTGGTAACTTAAGGTCTATTTATTTCTGGCGAGTTTGGGTGTTTTGGGGACTATGATGATGGGGTAATGTGATGAAGGCTCGAGTAGTGGATTTTTTTTTTTGCAGAGTATTCTTTTCAAAAAATTGGCCTCATTTTTTTGTGTTCATTTCAGCTAGGGTTTACTTTATTCAAGTTGAGATCAAATCCCTTACTTTCGAGGATCAAAATAAGTTTACTAGCTGGTTTTCAGCTAGTCAAGTTGGTTGTATTAGGATTGAAATATTAGGGTAGCTAATAAGGTGGCTTTGAAGGGATAAGAGGTGATGGGTGCTAGTGCCATGCACGGCACCATGCTCTAGTTTCTATCTATTTTTTTTAAATTTATTTCCTTTAATTAGTTAATTTTTAATTAAACTAACTAATTAATTTTGATTAAAAGAAAATGGGCTTTAAATTGAAAATTAAATTTTGGGCTTTCAAACCCAATTGAATTGGATTCGACCGATATGAATTTTGAATTGAACCTTAGGCTTTTCAACCTAATTGACTTAGACTTTATATTTTTTGGCTTAATTAACTTTAATTAATTTGAAACAAAATTTATCCATGCAATTGAGCCCACCCAAGCCCAAAAAATCCAACTCAAATAAGATGTTTGAAAGGATATGAATCAAGACCCATTTCAATAACTCCAAACAAAATTAAGTATTTACAGCTACTCTTCTCTGTACATTACTGAAAATTAAGAATAAAATAAAGACAAGAAACAATAATTTTGTTTGGGGGGAACCAATTTACCTTTTTGACAAGACATAAACAAAACATAATCAAATACAAACAACCCACTCGAAAAACTTGTAAACATGTTAAATCTACATTTTAATGAATCAATTTAGACATGATCGAAAAGCTTCTTCCTTCTTTTTTTTTTTGGAAAATTTTGAAACTAACACCGATAAACTTAAAGGTTGACCTCAAAAGCTATTCTCACCTAAGGCTTTACAATTATTTGAAAGTTAAAATGAAACTCTTCTAACCAGAGGCTCCGCAACTTTGAAAATAAATTGAAATGAAAACTCTTCTCACCGAGGTTGCACATATTAAAATAGAAATAAAAACTCTTCTTATTAAAAGCTTTATAACTTTAAAAATAAACGAAAACTCCTCTAATAAGAGGCTCTATAACTTTAAAATAGATTGAAATGAAAACTCCTATCACAAAAAGGCTCTACAGCTTTAAAATAGATTGTGATAACTCAAAAATTATACTCAGAGGTCTTACAAATCATGTCCAAAAGTCTCGATGGTTATGCCTGAAAGTCTTTAAAATTTTTCCATCTTAGAAATCTTGAAAAAAAAATCTCAACATTTTCAATTCTAATAAACTTTTACAATTTTCCTAAAAACTTTTCTAGTTCGCATCTTAAAAGTCTTAAATCGTAACAATATAGATTCTACTAAGAAGACTTACAAATCTTTGTCCAAAGGTCCTACAAATCTTAACACAAAATATGTTCAAAGTGAAAGACTTACAAATCTTGCTTAAAGGTCTTGTAAATCTCAACACAAAAACAAATTTAGTTTGGAAGAATTATGAATCTTACTAAAATGACTTAAAGACTATGCTTATAGGTCTTACAAATTGAGACAATAAAGTAGATTCAACTTAAAAAACATATGAATCTTATCCGGAGGACTTAAAAACTATGCCTAAAGGTCTTACAAATCTCGACACCTATGAATGCTCTTCTAAATAAAGGCTCTACAACTTTAAAATTTTAACTGAAAAGGTTCTTCCTAAATAAAAGTTAAAAAACTTTAAAAATATCATCTGAAAAAAAACTATCCTAATTAGAGGTATTTAAACTTTAGAAATCTCATCTGAAAAAAGTTTCTTTTATTAAAGGTACTGAAACTTTAAAAATCTTATCTAAACAAAAAATCAGAGATTCCCATATAAAAAAATAGAAATTCATTCAAACATTCATATATGAAAAGTTAAAAATTCATAATTGAAAGTTTTCGGGATTCACATTGAAAATTTTAGAGATTCATATTGAAAGTTTCAAGATTCACATAGAAATGTTTGAAATTCACACTGAAAGGTTCTTGAAAGTTGTATCATAAGTCTTTGAGTTTCATATCGAAGGTTCATAAAGGTTCATAAATGATTTTGAATGAATTTAAAGGTTCACAAAAGAAGAGTCAAAATTTGAAAATGACATAACTTGAATTGAATCAAAATCTGAAAGTGAAATGTCTTAGATAAAGCCCTTGCAAGTAATGAGGTGACCAAAATTGAATTGTAAGTTGAAAAACAAAATGACCTAAACTAAACTGCAAATCAAAAATGAAATAATTGGGACTGAGTCACTAGTTGAAAATTAAATAACCAAGATTGAGTTGCAAGTAAAAAAATGAAATGACTTGGACTAAATCGAGATAAAAAACCAAGGTCTCGAAGTCTTATGAAACTTGCTCAAAAATTTTACAAATCCTGCTTTTCGTTTGAAATTTGCTCTTTTAAATATAGACAAACGATTTTTGAAAATTTAAAATTTTTCTTAAAATTTATTTCTCAACCAAAACCTAAAATCTTTTTTCTAAAAAATTTTTCTCAACCAAAGATAAAAATCATTGTTCCAAAATTTTCCTTATCCAAAGGTCAAAATTTTATTCTCAAAATCCAATTAAAATCTCAATTTTGAAAAGTTGAGTTCATTATTTTGAAATTTTCCTATCTTTGAATAACCTTTCCATCAAAATCTTGTTTTTTGAAAATTTCTTCTTGTGCCTCATGCCAGTGTAAACGTACATGCGAATGCCTTTTGTCCATACGATGCAAACGCCTCTATGTAGATGCAAATGCAAATGCAAATGTCATTTCCTTGCAGTATGTAAAGATGTAAATATTGATGTCTTTCCCAAGATGCTAATGCAACTTGTAGAAATACGAATGTAGGCATTCTTTCATGTAGTTGATTGACTATTACAATGCAAACGCAATGGGTTTTTTTGTTTTTGTTTTTCATTTTTCAAAAGAAGATTTCTATTCAAATTTTTGTTGTTCAAGATTTTACTCTTTACCAAAAAATGATTTCAGTATTCTTTACAAAATTCTTGACTATTCTATAAACTTTTTAAAAGTAATCACAGCCTTATATAATGTATTCTATTATCAAAGTGTGACTTTCAAGTCTTTTGAAAACTAATGATCATTACCTGAAATATCTATGGATGAAGTGGTTGACAATTTAGCTCTTTTTTGACACATCTTAAGGAAGGTTTCACAATAATCACAATTCAATATAAGAAGTAGGTTAATTTTTTTGGCTCAAACTTTCCAAAAACATATATTTCTTAAAAATTAAGTGTTTCTTGCGAAGGTTCATTTTAAAACACAATCATTTTGATACTCTTTGAGTTTCTTAACATGATATTTTGATACACGTCAAAATTAGCTTTTATTCGTGGGCACCAAATTTGGGTGATTGGTTTGGAAAAAGAACTTTGGGTTTCACATGATTAATCTTCAAGAAATGTTAAATCTTTAATCATCATTGATTTTTCAATATCTTCCTTGGTTGGTCCATTAAGCACTTAAAAAATTTAAAATTCATCCAAAATAACTAATAAATTACAAAGGATAATATTGGCAAAGAAAAGAAAAAAAAAGCCACATTGGTTATGATGATTCTTCAACGAATAAGCTCTTTAGTTTTAAGTTTTCATACTTAATCAAAATTAACTTTTCAAGGTACATAATGTAGGATGGGGTTCAAGGTTTTAAAATAATGGATAAATAGGCCAAGATAAGTGTTTAAAAGTGATTAAACCAAGGTTTGTTTCATATGTAAAGGAAACCCTTTAGGACATTTATCTTGATCTTATCATCCCATCATCTCATTTTTCTCATTTATTTCCTTTCTCTTTTTTTTTTCATCATTTTCACTATTGCATTTCCCTATGTATTTCAACCTTTGATGGAATGGATTCAAAATTTTTTACTTTTGCCACTCATAATGAGGTATTATTCCTTTGTCCTTAGAGCACGACTTCATTAATAATATTTTTTAATAGATCCTTTTTTATGTTCACCCCTTGTAATCCTAGGTTAAGGCATATTTAAAAAGAATTCATTAGGCTCAAATAGGTAGCAAGTAGTAAAGGATGATGAAATATGGTCATTTCTAATTTCAAATATAGCACTTGCACTAAAGAGTAATTCTTTGGAGCAAATGGGTTCGAAATAATTTGAATCTTTCTTCATTTTTTTTATTTTTGAGGTTTTTTCCTTTTTTTTAATCTTTGGAATTTTTTTGGTTTTTCCAATTTTTGTTCTTGTTTTTTGTCATTTTAGGTTTTCTAACGTTTTCTTTTTTGAGTCATATGAATATCTCAAGCGCATGATGTAACCATCAATCTTTTCTTTCTTTTTTTTCATTATTTATTTATTTTTCATGCTTTTTCAATAGTTAATCATTGCTGATGGTACAATTCAAAGAGAGGGCTTTATCTTAATGTCAAAAAGGTTCATTTGACAATGGAAATCATGTTGGAAGGGTTCATGCATAATACATCCACCAAATGAGATTGAGAAATGGTGAAAATTATATTGTCTAAGGATTATAGGTAATTATGCTTTTGGTCAATATGCCTTTAGATATAAAATGAGGATGACTTTAAAGTATTTTTGGTCATTTAAAGAATGGGTAGTTTTAGTATATTCGAAATTCCAGCAATATCCCAACACACGTTGGTAACATTTGGAGAAAATTTTCACCTAAGGATTTTTAGGAATCACTAGAATTTTTTTTAAGTCTCATCCTCGAAAACTCTTGTTTATTTTTTAATTAATTAATTCAAACACTATTTATGCATTATTATATGTAACTTTGTAAAAAAAAAATAAAACTCTTTTCTTTTATTTTTCTTTCATTTTTAATTAAAAAAAGTAAATGAAAACTTTATTGTATTGAATATTTAAAAAAAAAACATCAGTTCTTTTGTAATATTTTAGAAAAATATTCTCACTAAAAGATTTTAAAAATCTTTACTTGAATTTTCTTAAAATCTCATCGTTGGAATCATAAAAAAATTATTTGTCATCATTTCATCTCTTTTAAAGAAACTTTTGTTTATTAATTTTTCAATTTTCAAATTTTTTGCATTTTTGTTTGATGGGTAGAAGAGAAAGAAAATTTTTTTATATTGAAAGGTTTTTAGAAACACTCTAATACGTTAGTGTTATTTAAAAAAAATTAACGTAAAAGTTTCATAGGAAAATAACTATATAGATTTTCTTAAAATCTCATTATCAAAAAATTTTTTTTTCTCTTTTTTTATTAAACTTTTTACTCGTTTGATTTTTTTTTCTTTTCTTAAAAATATATATTCAATATAAAATTTTTTAAAAATTTAAATATATAATGATAAACAAACAAATAACTTATCAAAATATGACAAATTTTTAAAAAAATAAAAAATAAAAAATTACTTAAAAAGGACCTATTAGAGTCGGTCAACGATTCGAGCGGTCCAAAACAGCAGCTCAGTAATCTATTAGCTGTTCAATTGTGGTTTTTCTATGGTTCTCGGGTGGTTCAAAGCGGCTCAATTTGATTCGCTTACAATTTGGAGCAATTCACGGGCGATTCAATTGAATCAATCCAAATTGGTCAAGAATAAGGTGCGGGTTGGGCATATGGACTCCGGGTCGAGTTTGTGTCCAAGCCCAAAATAGCTCCGAACCGCCTTGATCTGGACCCAAAATCACTGCCTAAAAGTACCCTCTTTTTCCGCCGGCCAAACACCTATTCCGCCTAATATGGTTTTCTCTTGCCCGCCGCCTTTTCTCCTCTAAAAACTAGACCATGAAACCGCCTAGAACAGATTTGATCTACTCATTTTTTCTAGCCTTTTTTATGTTTTTGTTTTTTTTTCTTCCTTCTGTACACTTTTAAAATGTGTTGATTGTGGCTCCCTTAGAGGATGTGGTTTTTTATTTTTGTTAATGGATGTTGGGATTTTCTAGGTGGTGGGTCTTGGTGGGCACTGATGATTTTAATGGTGGTAACTTCGAGTCTATTTGTTTTTGGCAAGTTCGGGTGTTTTGGGGACGGTGGTGATGGGGCAATGAGTGTACGGTGATGAAGGCTCGCGTATTGGAAATTTTTTTTTTTTTGCAGGGTTTTCTTATTCAAAAATCTGCCTGCTTCCTTTTCGTATTGATTTCAGCTAGGATTTATTGTGTTCAGGTTAGGATCAAATCCCTTAAATTCAAGGATCAAAATCAGTTTACCAATTGATTTTCTACCGGTCATGGTGATTGTATTGGAATTGAAATGTTAGGCTAGCAGGCAGGGTGGCTTGGAGGGGATGGGAGGTGATGGGTGCTGGTACCATAAACTACACCATGCTCCAGTTTCTGTTTCTGTTTTTTTTTTTAATTAGTTAATTTTTAATTAAACAAACTAATTAATTTTAATTAAAAGAAAATGGGCCTTAAATTAAAAATTGGATTTTAGGCTTTCAATCCAACTGAATTGGATTAACTTAAATGAATTTTGAGTAAAATTTTAGGCTCTTCAACCTAACTGACATGGATTTCGAATTTTTCAATTTTATTGACTTAAATTGATTTGAAACCAAAATTTATCCATGCAACCGAGCCCGCTTAAGCCTAAACAACCAACTCAAATAAAATATCTGAACGAATATGAATCGAGGCCCGTTTCAATTACCCTAAACAAAATTAGGTATCTACGAGGAAGATTGTCTTTGCTTGATGTGTTCATAAGTTCTGTTATTTACAGGTATTATTGTGGCCGGAGATTGTTTAGACAGAGACAAAGAAGTTCTACTGAATCTGAAATCATTCCTGGAAGAAAAGAATCGCGTAAATCGAGGAAGATACTCAGAATGGAATGCTGACAACTCGACACCATGTCAGTGGCATGGAATATCTTGTTCTCCTGAAGGACAAAGAGTCATTGGAATAGACCTCTCTGACAACTATATTTCTGGTGAAATGTTCAATAGCTTCTCAGCCTTAACCGAACTTCAAGAACTTGATCTCTCAAGAAACACCATTGGTGGAGCCATACCTGACGATTTGAACCGATGCAGTAGCCTTGTGTACCTCAACTTATCACATAATATCCTAGAAGGAGAGCTGAACCTGACAGGGTTGAATAGTTTAGAGAAGCTTGATTTGTCTATGAATAGGATTCATGGGGAAATTAAAGTTAATTTTCCAGCAATTTGCAGGAGACTGATTGTTGCAAACCTTTCAACTAATAATTTCACGGGTAGAATGGATAGCTGCTTTGATGAATGCTGGAATCTGCAGTATCTGGACTTGAGTTCTAATGATTTTGTTGGCAATATATGGAATGGATTTGCAAGACTTGTGGCGTATTCAGTTTCTGAAAACTTTGTTTCTGGGACACTTTCAAGATCAATGTTTACGAGTAATTGTAGTTTGCGGATTTTGGACATTTCAGAAAACAATTTTCAAGGTGAACTTCCGGGGGAGATTTCAAATTGCGAGAACTTGGCTATCTTGAATATAGAGGGAAACAAATTTATAGGGCCAATTCCATCAGAGATGGGGACGATTTCGACTCTTAAAGGTTTGTTCTTGGGGAACAACTGTTTTTGTAGGTTGATTCCAGAATCCTTATTGAACCTGACGAAATTGACCTTTTTGGATTTGAGCAAGAACAATTTTGGTGGGGAGATACAAGAGATTTTTGGGAGATTCAAACAGTTGAGGTTTCTTGCATTAGACGGAAATTTATACACGGGAGGGATTGGTTCTTCTGGTATTCTCAAGCTACCAAACATTTCTCGTTTAAGCCTGAGTTGTAACAATTTCTCAGGCCCATTACCTCTTATAATATCTCAAATGCATAGTTTGAATTTCTTGATGCTTGCCTACAATCAATTTACAGGTGGTATGCCCCCTGAGTATGGAAACTTGCCGCAGTTACAAGCCCTTGATCTCTCCTTCAACAGGCTCTCTGGATCAATCCCACCAGCCCTTGGAAAATTGAGCTCTCTTTTATGGTTAATGCTTGCAAACAACTCCCTTAGCGGTGAAATTCCACCTGAGATCGGAAACTGCACTAGCTTATTATGGCTAAACCTCGCCAACAATCAACTTTCTGGAAGAATCCCTCCTGAGTTGGCAAAGATTGGGAGTAATGCGACTCCAACTTTTGAGTCAAATCGGCTACGCAATGACAGCATGATTGCTGGTTCTGGTGAGTGCTTGGCAATAAAGAGGTGGATACCAGCAGACTATCCACCTTTCAGTTTTGTATATACAATTCTCACAAGGAAGACTTGCGGACACATATGGGATCGGTTGCTTAAAGGAAGTGGCCTTTTCCCAATGTGCACTCCAGGTTCAATGGTGAGAACATTACATATCTCAGGTTATCTTCAACTTAGTGGGAATCAGTTTTCGGGTGAGATCCCTTCAGATATTGGAATGATGAGGAATTTCAGTATGCTTCACTTGGGTTTCAATGACTTCAATGGTAAACTGCCTGCACAGATTGGACAGTTGCCACTTGTAGTCCTAAATATCACCCAAAACAAATTTTCAGGAGAAATTCCAGCAGAGATTGGGAATCTAAAATGCTTAAGGAATCTAGATTTGTCATACAATAATTTTTCTGGCATATTTCCAACAAGCTTCAACAACCTGACTGAACTGACCAAGTTTAACATTTCATACAATCCGCTCATTTCTGGTGTAATTCCATCAACTGGGCAATTGGCAACGTTCGAGAAAGAGTCCTACCTGGGTAATCCACTACTGGATGTTCCAGATTTTATTGACAACAGAACAGATAACCTGCCAAACCATAACCAGAGGCAGAAAAAATCTACAAAGTTGGCTGTGCTTGTGGTGTTATTAGCTCTGACACTGGCCTTCTGAGATCTCGGGGTTGTGTTGTACCGATTGAACTTTTTATATATATATAAAGAAGATAGAAGGGAAGAATGAAAGGTTGCATGTATTAAAATTAGATTCTTAAATTTGAATGTCCCTCGTTACAAATGATTGTATGAATTAACTAATTTTTATATTCAATAAAACGGTTTTTTGTCATAAATTAAATCTATAGACAATTTTTAAACATAAAATTATCAATTATCATTTGATAATTATCTTCATCTTTATATATGAAGAAAAAAATTACAACAAATATATTTATATTCAATTATTAGATATAAATATTCAATATAACAGTTTTTTTTCCTATAAATTAAATCTATAAACAATTTTAAACATAAGATTACCTTTTGTCATTTGAAGATTATCTTCATCTTTATATATGACAAATTGATAACAAATATATTTATAGTTAACTCTTAAAAAGAGGCTGAGTAAGATAAAGGATTTGAAAGGGCAATAAAATTTTAAGGCAAATTGTCCCTTTGACCTGTCCCTTTGAGCGGCTGAGGATGTGGCAAGAAGAAGAAAAGCCGCATAAGCTGTCCTCAGGGTGGAGTCTACGCCTAAACAATTCAGTCCTCCCACTATGGAAAAGTTACCTGCAAAATATCAGCCCCTGGGTAATGTTCTTAACATGAAGTGTAAAAGTTACCTGCAAAATATCAGCCACTGGGTAAAGTTCTTAACATGAAATTCTAGTCTAAGAAAATTTTCAGTAACTTGGTTTGCTTATAGAAGTTCTGGGTGAGAACTATAAGCTCTGAGCTGGCAAATAGACTGTTATTAACAAATTGGTCTATTCACTAAATATTTATGGGTAAAAAAAAGTTATGCTCCAATTGTCAATAGAAAACAAGGCAAAAACAAGGAACCCAAACTTTGGCAGGCCTGCTTTCTCCCTGGCTGTGGTAGTTAAAATCGCGGGCTATTAGAACTATAGCTCAAATTTGGGCCAAGGTGTTTTACACTAAGACTAGACTTCTGGCTCTTTTATAGAAGCCCATTCCATTGCGCCATTCTTTTTTTTTTTTGGATACGGCATTTTCATTAATCCAAAGAAGCAGCAAAACCTGTTATCAGTCAACAAATCAACAAATGAACTGTAGCAACTTCCTATACAATGCCCCAATTTTTACCCATTGCTTCATGCTAATATTCTTGGAAAATTACTATTTATGTACATACTCTTTATTACTTAACATGCTTTGAATATGGGGTTTCAAAGTTCACCAATGTAAATTTTAATTTAGATGTAAAAGAATCTAACATATTTGATCTCAATTTATGTACTTAAACCAAGTCTGTCTTTCTTTTCCCCACAGATTTCAATTATTTTTATTGTTTATCTTAATCACATTTTCTTTACAGTTATATACAAAGATTTTGACTAATTGATATTTTTACAGCTTACTTTTTGTTGTTTGAAAAATTTTAAGAAAAAGTAAAAAAATAAAAAGTAATATCTAAATAAATAAAAAAATTAGACAATCATCAAAATGAAACACCTATTAGAACATATCAGAAATTGAGTAAATTTTGATAAAATATTAAACTTTTAATTTAATTATCAAAATTTAATTTTCAGTACGTACAAAGTTAGAGGGTAAGTAATTTTCCAAAGCATAAACAGAAGTACATAACATGCATGAAGGGAAAGGAAGAGAAAGAGCCAGGGCCCCTAGTCGGCCAATTGCGCGTTCTTGCATTTTCCTCTTATGGAAAAGAATGGTAGACCATTTTTTTTCTCCCGTAAGTTACATGTTTTTCATCATTTCCTTGCTTGGTAAGTCACGTTCACTCCAATTTTTTTTCCTTGTCTTTGCTCCCAAATTTCAAAAGGAATTAAGTCGTTGCTGTGTACGAAGCAAACACGACAACACCATGGAAATGGCAACCCAAAATTTTCCAAAAGCTAAAGCGGATCAAATATCGCATCATGCAATGGTAATATACCTTTGTTTCGGTCAAAGTTCCAAGTGACTTGTCAAAGTTTTCATCAAATTCCATTTCTTTGTCGTAGAAAAAAAATCATGGCTAGCTTTGTCCTTTATTGTAAACGAATAACTTGATCAATCAAATCTAAACTTAATCATACAAGTAATTCTTTTTCAAATTTTAAAAGACTTTCACTGTATAAAAAAAAATTAATCATAAAATACATCTTTTAATGTAATAAATCTTTTAGTCAAATTATTAAATAGACACTAAATCGAGCAGTTTCATCAATAATACAAGTCAAAAGAATTTAATAATTCAGGATGATAATTTTTTAAATTAAAGATACATACATTTATCATTAAAGCAAAGACAGCAATTCTCAAATAGCAAAACAAGAGGGGAAGGGACAAGGGAAGGGACCACAAGGCCCCTACAAACTCAGAGGTTTTTTTTTTTTTTTTTCAAAAAGTGAAATAGGGAGTCAATTTTTTTTGGCAAAGAAACCTCGATTGATTGGCCCTGGTAGAATCCCATACGTTACATGTGTTTGGCAAAGGTTCAAAAAGGTGACTCTCTCTATCTGGGGTCCACATTCGCAAATTGTATCACAATCCTAGATGTAGGCTGTGACTATGAGGCAAGGCTGTAGCCGCTTGCGATGAAACATTATGATTTGATCTCACAAAACCAAATTTTTTGCACACTAATCTCGGCTTGTGACTCCTTTGAAATTATGCATGAAATAATATAATAATTAATATAATAAAATAAAATATATAAATTAATTAGATATGATAATTTTAAATATCATATAATGATATAATATAAAAAAATATTATTTAAAATTTTAATTAAATTTTATATGAACTTAAAAATTTAGTATTTGACACGTTAATGTAAATTATAATATAATAATTTTTATATTTTAATTATTCAACATAAAATAAACATAATATATATATATATATATGAATTATCAATTTCAATATTAACATCATTTATGATAAGTTTACAAATTTCATCGTTGGTGTTGTACAGAAAACAAATTAACAGTATAAATTTTTTTTTCTTTGCTTTTGGATAGAGTTGTAGAATTAATTACATGGTACGTTTGATAATGTGAACGATGCCATATATGACCAAAATTTTCAGCCCCTAATTATTAGATGTGAACAAATGTTGTAAAAATTCAACATTTTCCGTTGTGTAGAAGCAAAAGGAATCCGAGATTAATTGTATTTGGATTTTGCAAGAGAAAAAGCCGAACACCCCCACAATTTTAACTCGGTGTGAGGGAGATTCTGGAAACTCATATGCTGAACAGATTTTTCTTGATTCAGAAATTTTAAGGTCAAAAACGCAATAGGTCCACACGGGCTCAAATGATGTGACCTCCCCCTTTTTATTTTTTAAACAAATTTTCTTTCCAAAATTTTTTTTAGAAAATTTTAGATGCATTTGATGGAATCCAATGGTCTAAAAAGCTTTGATCACTTGCCAAATGAAGGTATTGGGGTTAGCTTTTCCTTTTTTTTTTTTTTGTAATTTTAATTATTAGAGTTTAAAATTGAGATCTTTAATTTTAGAGTCCATTTTAATAGTTTTAAATTAATAATTTATTAGTTAGAATTAAGACTTAATTTAATTGATTTATGTCATTATTTGTAAAAAAATAACATTTAAAAAATTTAAAATTTAAATCCCAAGATTTACAATTTTTTTTTTATTTTGAAAGATTATGGTCTGTTTTATATATATATATAAAATCTCATTGGTTGGTATTAGTGTTAGCTGACTAAGAGTAATTAACAAAATTCAATCAAGTAGAATCTTGACTAAGTCATATTGGGGCCTTTAAATAAAAAATCCAATATTGTAAAATGAAATTTTATTAAATTAACAAATATTAATAAGATTAATTTATATTTGATAAAGTGCTTTATGTTCTACTTAATAGAAAAAAAAAGGGAGGGTTAATTTTGAGAGAGTTTAAAAAAAATAAAAATTCAAGGGAGTTAATGTGGAACAACCTGTTTGGATCATTATCACTAGTCTCTTACACCTAAAAAGATTGATTCCTTTTCTAAGAAAATATATGAAAATTGTAATATGTATATGTGGCTGTGTTGGATTGAATAGGTTTACTAAATATTTAATTTAAAATCAAACAAAAAATTAATTTAAAGATAAAATTTTAAAATAAAGTTAATATTTAATAAATATGAGATAAAATCAATTAATATTTTTTTCTCATTGTAAAACTAATATTAATATTAACTACTAAAACTAAATAAAATAAAATTTGAAATTTGATATTACAATAAGTATTTAATTTGAAATCAATTAATAATAATTAGAGCTGTAAAAAAAATTGAATATAAACGAATGAACGTATGTATGTAGTTTATTCATTTATTTTTAAAAGTGTTCGGATTTAGTTTGTATTTAGTAAGAAAATTATTCTGTTAATTCGAACTTGATTCATTTAAATGATACGATATTCATATTTAATTCGTATCTAGTTTATATTCGATTCAATTAAGTTAAAAAAATTCGTTCGTGAACATGAAGTGAACATATTCATGAATATATATAAATAAATATACTCATAAACAATAAATAAATTATAATCAAATAAATTTAAACAAACAAACTCTAAAGAAATATAAATGAACCTAACTGAATATAAACAAACTTTAAAACAGTATTAGGATAAATGATACAAATATAATTTTATTAGTATTATTATAAACGAATAATAAACAAATGAGTTTATTAATGAACATAAGCAAATCTAATCAACATTTATTCGTATTTAATTTATTTAATAAATAAATATAAAAAAATTGCTCAAGATCATTTCTTAAGTTTAATAAACGAATAAAAACTAAATACGTTCATGAACAATTGATAAAAAACTTTATTCGTTTACAGTTATTATTAATATCTGAAAATATCTAACCTAATATAAAATTTTAAAAATTTTAAAAATTTTAAAAATTTTAAAACTTAACATATATATTATAATACCATTTAATAATGATTAGATAAATAATCATGCATTAAATTTAATATGTATAAGAATGCATTAATTTAGTCCAAATTTATAATTAATAGCTATCAATGACAAATCCACCGCAACCAGATTGTTTGATGTTAGTTTATCAAATCCTGACGAACAAAATGCTTGACAAACAAATCCCTCACTCTTTTCTTATGCAAAAAATATATATACTTTTATGAGAATTTATATTGTGCTTATGGAATTTTTTTTAAAGAAAATCGTGATTTAAAAAAAAAATTATAAATATTAAAATTTGAATTCTAAATTTAGATATCACATTTTTAAAATATTATATAAATAAATAAAATAAAATAATATATTTTATGTAACAGTTTCTTTGCCATAAAGTCAATTTCCTAAACAATTTTTAAATAAAAATTACTATTTTTCATTTGATAATTATCTTCATCTTTATATATAAAAAAATTAATAAATAATTGATTCAATTGATTAAAATTTTTTATCTTTGATGAAAAATTTTTATATTCGAATCTTATCGGTAGTTATTTATTGAGATTATTTTAAATACACGATTTAAATTTATTTATATTAAATTATCAGATATGATACATGTTATTTTAATTTAAAAGACTAAATAATTTATTTATTTTTAAATTTTTCCTATAAAAAAAACTTGACAACAAATATATTTATATTTAACTCTTAAAAAGAGTCTGAGTCAGATTTTGCAATTTATGGCATTTATAAAGATAAAGGATTTGAATTTTAAGGCAAATTGTTGCTTTGACCTGTTGCTATCAAAGCCATGGAAACATTATAAAATTGTGAGTACTAACAACCGTTGGCGTACTTTTTTTTTTTTTTTGCGACAATGTTTTCCGTTGAAGACTAAAATTGATATTTTTATTTTTTTCAAGCTATAATTATGGTTGAATTTAAAATTTTTAATTTTTAAGTTGATTTTAATATTATTAAACTATAAGCTCATAAGTAAATTTATATTATTTTAATTCTACTGTTTTAAAAATAAAAAATTTCTCTACTTCAATTTAATAAATTTAATTAGGTACTTTTATTAAAAGTAGATTTAAAGACAATTGATAATAATATTATAATTAAATAGTAATTAATATTTTTAATTCTAAAAACAAAAATTTAATATTGTTATTAAATAATAAAGTTTTTTCGTGTACAAATGTGTCATCCAGTAAAAGAAAATTCTAACTAAATGTCACATCATCAACAAGAATGGGTTCAATCAAATTTAATTACAAAAATTTAAAACCATCGTAAAATGTTATGATAAAAAAAATTAAATTAATTAAAATTAAATTACGAGGACCAACATCACATAATTGAAATAGTAAATAAATTAAATTCAAATTTTAATAATATTTTTGGATCATACTTGATCCAATCTCATAAATTCCATTTAATTATTTTAAAAAAAAAATTGAACTCGAAAATTTCAAATTAAAATATGGGGGATTTTTATATATGCTGAAATTGTGTTATTTGTGACTTTTCCCTCTTGTAAGAGACTAATTGAAAGTCATACGGCGTGGGTTTTATCTCGTCATCCTCCTTTCTTTTTTGTAAGGGCATTAATTTTTTTTTTGCAATAAAAAAATTGTGCTATTTGTAATTTTTACCTATGTAATTAGTTGATTTATTTTAATTTGTGACAAAGTTACATGAGATCATCATCATCATTAATGATATGTATTTTTGTATAATTTAAGATTAATATTATTATTTTAATCTGCATACTTCTATTCTATATAAATAGGCATGCAAAATGTTTCCATCACAATTAACAAGTCTAGAAAAGATGTCACAGATGAATAAATAAATCAAATTAAATATAAATTTCAAGGTCACCCTCTCATGAGGAGGACCATTCTATTTTTTTATAATTTAGTTTAATTATTAATTAATTATAGATGGCTTTGACTAATTAAGCAGCTCAAAATTGCCTTTGCTACATGGATTTGATGGGATCTCAATCATAAATCCGTAAATGGTCTCCTGATGTAGTCCACTTTGATTTAACATAATGAACAATTGACATTTGGAAAGTATTTTTTTGATATTTTTCTTCACGTACTCTTTGGTGAGTACATAACATGGTTTTGAATTGTTAATATTTTTTATTAATTAATCAAATAGTGATGTTATAAAAAATTTTGGTCATTGAAGTCTTGTTTCAATGGCAAGAAAAAAAAAATCCTTAGATCTTAAATCAAATTGTATTATACATGAGTTTAGTCAAATTTTAATGTTAGTTTGTTTAATTGGTTAGTTTATTTATTAATTTTTTCTATGAATGTAATATCTTATAAATAAATAATAAGGATTAATTTATCGTCTCATACTAATATAAGAGTTAAATATTTTTTAATTTTAAGTCAAAATTAAATTCATAACACTTTTATTTAATTATTTTAATTCAATGATAAAAAAAGTGTAATTCTTACGTTTATATAAGTGGATCTATCAAGTATAACAAAAATTCTACTTGTAACTGCAGCCAATCAAAATTTTTTTTGCTGAGGCAGCAATTTTCTTTTAAAATGCACATATGAATAGATAGAGCTAATAAAATCGGTCCAAATTTTAAAAATTTGTCAAAATGTGAACTTGATTTGGATATGCATAACCCACATCTAAAATAATTTAAACTCAAATTAATTCAAAATACTAATCTAAAATGATAATGAACTCTAGTCAAAATATTCAAAATCAAAATGATAAAAAAAAAAAAAAATTCAACAAGGAATGACCTGATCCAAAACCCACTAAATGCCCAATTGCCACCTACATTAATAAGTTTAAAGGAAGACAATTCCTTGAATCTTCAAACTTTTTCTTTTAGTTAACAATATTATTTAGATCTGTTTGTCTCTAACAACTTGAAAAGGCATTTGGATTAAAAAAAAAAAATGCAAAAGCAACACAAATGCATTCACAAATCTAGAGTCCTTGCAAGTTTATATATCCCATAAAATAGTTCTGGTTTTTGCATTGCATAATCTTTTTTTATTAAACTACTTATCTACATAAAGATGCCAAAAAGTAGCCATTACCAAAACCTGAATTATTATCAATTAACCCACGAAACTAAAGAAAAAAAAATAGTATAATGTTGAAGTTGCTTAAATTGTCATTCACTTTTCCAAGTTTGGTTGAACAAATCTTTTACAGGGCATCCTATCCTAACAAAAGAAAGTGGTCTCCACTCACCACTTACCAGCCTCATCATGGGCGGCCAGGCTTTCCAATTGGTTACTATTTTCTATTCATGATAAGAGCAAGAAATTGCCCTTTTCCCCCTTAACACAAATTAATGTTATTTTATTTGTAAATTTGACAATATTGGCTCCATTTTGAGGAAATAAGAACCTTCCATGAAACCAGTTACGAAGCGATAATCAAAATTTTACATCAAGAAAATTTTTTTTTGTATGTCGAGATTTAAATGTGAGATTTAATTCAATTAATTATTTTAAAAAAAATATTCATTAAATTTAAAATTTAAATTTTAAAATCATATTAATTTTTTTATTTTCAAATTACTACCTTCTTTATATATATATATATATATATATATATATAATTGTATGTCAAGATTTTAGGCATATAAATAAGGATATGCTAATTAATTTGAATTGGTGTTGAAAACATATAGAGCTTTACTTGATAATCACTTTTGCTTAGATGAATTTTCAAATTTAATGTTAATCTCTTCAAACCTACTTTTTTTTTTCTTTTTAATTCTTAATAATTGTTTTCTTGTTCACTTCTTTCTCCCACTTGTTAATTGAAAATAATTATTGGAGATAATTACAGAAAACAAATACATGTCCGTTCTTTTTATTCCTTTTTTTCACTAATTTAAGAGAAAAATGCAAGTGCGTATGCATTTAAGCATTTAACTCGATGATAAATATATATACATCTTACTTGCAAAATTAAATTAAAATTTTTCTTTCTTTGAATAAAAAAAAAAGAAGAAAAAGAAAGACATACTCAATCTAATCCTTTCCATTTCTTCCCAAAATCATTCAATTTTCCTTTAGAATTGATAAAGAAGATAGCACCAGATTAACTGATGGTAACTTTAAGTTTTTTTTTTTTAATTTTTTACCGTGGATAAAGAGAATGGAGTTAATTTTTTTATATAAAAAAATTGTAATTTGAATATAAAAAAATTATAAGTATTGAGATTTTAATTTTAATTTTATTATTTTTTAAAATAATTATATAAATTAATTGGATTAAATTTTGAATTAAAAAAAATTGATATGGTTGCATATTAAATTTTTGCAGCTGACTAAAACCAACTATACCAAGTTATCATAGATATGCAATAAATTATCATTTTTTTTTTAAATTGCAATAAATGATTATTAACAATTATTCTTTTGTTCATTTTCAATTTGCTAGGCTACTTACCAAACATAATGGAGATTCCTTAGTTCTCAACCCGGATTTCCAAGCTTTGCATATTTTTTCATACGTTTCAAAGTCAAATTATTAATTTAAATAAATAAGGTTTCTTCAATCCCTTCCTCAAATCTCATGTTGGATTTCTTTTGACCAATATGGCATGAAAAATCACAACAAAAAAATTGAGAAACAAAAAAAGTCATGAAAACAATAAAAAATTATTACAAAAAATTAATTTATAATGTTATTCTGATGACAAATGCGTGTATTTGTTGCTGTGGTTTTTCATATAAACTTACCAACCAACAAAAACAGTGATAACTTTCCAAATTTTGTTTGTGAAAGTAATGGCTTTAGTCAAATACAAACAATATGAACAAACAATCCAAATCCAATTCTAGAAAGAAAAGCAAATTATGCTTCAGCCTTGTCTGTGGCTCGTTGAGTCGGATTCCGTGGTCAAACCCCATGTCCTGATGTTACCCCGAAGTAACCAGTCAACATGGGCGGCTCATCAGCCCCTTGCTTCGAATGTCTCATTTTCCCATCAAAGAACAAGCACCATAACCAAAAACTGATTAATATTGAGATTATTTCCCATTTTTTGTTTTGGAAAAGGTACTGTTGGCAAACGTTTCTTCCAAGCTTGGTCTCTGGTCTTCAGTGCAGGCTCTGTGTTCTTCCACTGACTTTACGAATACGTTTACAACTTTTTATTTTTTATATATATATATATATATATTTTGTCTTACTCCAAAATTCATTTCTCAATTCTTCTCATGTTTTTATTTGATGGTTGTGTAAGTAACTCATTACTGCAAAAGTAAATTTAACAAGATGAAGAGGAAGAAGATCATGTCAGGAGACCAAGTTGTTCCATGCCGTTTCATTTTGTTTATATTCTTAATCCTGATTACAGGTATGTTATAATCTTTTTATCAGTTTTGGTCTGGTTTAATTAGATTCTAAGTTCTAGTTCCAATATGATATATGATTACAACAATTCTGTTTATAGGAGTATCATTTCTTGCTTATATTCAATTATTGATTGGTGTTTAAAGAGCTTAAAATCTTGGTGTTGATATTAAATTTTCTTATGCATGCATGAAAATCTTTCATGGGGCAGCTTTTTTTTTTTGTTTATGTCTGTTAATGAATTGATTTTGTGATTTTCTAGGTTGATTCTGTTGTCTTATTGCAATTTTATTTCAGCAGTGATGTTTTCTTACATGTTTGAGTTCAAGAAAGATTCTGTTTTTGCTTGATGTTCAAATTTCTGTTATTTACAGGTACTATTGTGGCCGGAGATTCTTTAGACACAGACAAAGAAGTTCTGCTGAATCTGAAATCATTCCTGGAAGAAAAGAATCGCGTAAATCGAGGAAGATACACAGAATGGAACGCTGACAGCTCGACACCATGTCAGTGGCATGGAATCTCTTGTTCTCCTGATGGGCAAAGAGTAATTGGAATAGACCTCTTTGACAACTATATTTCTGGGGAAATGTTCAATAACTTCTCAGCCTTAACCGAACTTCAAGAACTTGATCTCTCAAGTAACACCATTGGTGGAGCCATACCTGACGATTTGAACCTATGCAGAAGCCTTGTATACCTCAACTTATCACATAATATCCTAGAAGGAGAGCTGAACCTGACAGGGTTGAATAGTTTACAGAAGCTTGATTTGTCTACTAATAGGATTCGAGGGGAAATTAAAGTTAATTTTCCAGCAATTTGCAATAGACTGCTTGTTGCAAACCTTTCAACTAATAATTTCACCGGTGGTATAGATAGCTGCTTTGATGAATGCTGGAATCTGCAGTATCTGGACTTGAGCTCCAATAATTTTGTTGGCAATATATGGAATGGATTTGCAAGGCTTGTGGTGTATTCACTTTCTGAGAACTTTGTTTCTGGGACACTTTCAAGATCAATGTTTACAAGTAATTGTAGTTTGCGGATTTTGGACCTTTCACAAAACAATTTTCGGGGTGAACTTCCAGGGGAGATTTCAAATTGCAAGAACTTGACTATCTTGAATATAGGGGAAAACAAATTTAAAGGGCCAATTCCATTAGAGATAGGGACGATTTCGACTCTTAAAGGTTTGCTCTTGGGGAACAACAGTTTTTCTAGGTTGATTCCAGAATCCCTATTGAACCTGACGAAATTGACCTTTTTGGATTTGAGCAAGAACAATTTTGGTGGGGATATACAAAAGATTTTTGGGAGATTCACACAGTTGAAGTTTCTTGTACTAGACGGAAATTCATACTCAGGAGGGATTAGTTCTTCTGGTATTCTCAAGCTACCAAACATTTCTCGTTTAGACCTGAGTTATAACAATTTCTCAGGCCCATTACCTGTTGAAATCTCTCAAATGCAAAGTTTGAATTTCTTGATGCTGGCCTACAATCAATTTACAGGTACTATACCACCTGAGTATGGAAACTTGCCGCAGTTACAAGCCCTTGATCTCTCCTTCAACAGGCTTTCTGGATCAATCCCACCAGCCCTCGGAAAATTGAGCTCTCTTTTATGGTTAATGCTTGCAAACAACTCCCTTAGTGGTGAAATTCCACCTGATCTCGGAAACTGCAGCAGCTTGTTATGGCTAAACCTCGCCAATAATCAATTTTCTGGAAGAATCCCTGCTGAGTTGGCAAAGATTGGGAGAAATGCTACTTCAACTTTTGAATCAAATCGGCTCCGCAATGACAGCATGCTTCCTGGTTCTGGTGAGTGCTCGGCAATGAAGAGGTGGATACCAGCAGACTATCCACCTTTCAGTTTTGCGTATACAATTCTCACGAGGAAGACTTGCAGGCACATATGGGATCAGTTGCTTAAAGGTTATGGCCTTTTCCCAATGTGCACTGCCGGTTCAATGGTGAGAATATTACAAATCTCAGGTTATCTTCAACTTAGTGGGAATAAGTTTTCGGGTGAGATCCCTTCAGATGTTGGAATGATGAGGAATTTCAGTATGCTTCACTTGGGTTTCAATGAGTTCAATGGTAAACTGCCTGCACAGATTGGACAGTTGCCACTTGTAGTCCTAAATATCACCCAAAACAAATTTTCAGGAGAAATTCCAGCAGAGATTGGGAATCTCAAATGCTTACAGAATGTAGATTTGTCATACAATAATTTTTCTGGCATATTTCCAACAAGCTTCAAAAACCTGACTGAACTGACCAAGTTTAACATTTCATACAATCCGCTCATTTCTGGTGTAATTCCATCAACTGGGCAATTGGCAACGTTCGAGAAGGAGTCCTACCTGGGAGATCCGCTACTGGATGTTCCAGATTTTATTGACAATAGAACAGATAACCGGCCAAACGATCGTCAGAGGCAGAAGAAACCTGCCATGTTGGCTGTGCATTTGGTGTTATTAGCTCTGACATTGGCCTTTGTAGTTCTCGGGGTTGTATTACTTTTGGTTTGCATATTGGTGAAAACTCCAGCACAACCGCAAGGTTATCTCTTACAGGATACAAAGTATAGACCTGATATGGCATCTAGCTCTGGCCGGTCATCACCATGGTTATCAGACACTGTCAAGGTCATCCGTTTGGACAAAACAGCTTTCACACATGCTGACATTTTGAAGGCTACAGTTAATTTTTCAGAGGATAGGATTCTTGGAAAGGGAGGATTTGGAACAGTTTACCGAGGTGTATTGCCTGATGGGAGAGAAGTAGCAGTGAAAAAGTTACAAAGAGAAGGAATTGAGGGCGAAAGGGAGTTTCGGGCTGAGATGAAGGTTCTTAGTGGAAATGGTTTTGGTTGGCCGCACCCTAACCTTGTAACACTTTATGGTTGGTGCCTTGATGGCGTAGAGAAAATATTGGTTTATGAGTACATGAGAGGTGGGAGCCTGGAGGATCTTATATCAGATAGAGTTCGGTTAACATGGCGGAGAAGGATCGATGTGGCAGTCGATGTTGCCCGAGCATTAGTATTTCTACATCATGAATGCTACCCTGCAATTGTGCACAGGGATGTTAAGGCTAGCAATGTCCTGCTAGATAAAGATGGGAGGGCAAGAGTCACAGATTTTGGTCTAGCTAGAGTTGTTGATGTTGGAGACAGCCATGTGAGCACAATGGTGGCAGGAACTATTGGTTATGTAGCACCAGAATATGGGCAGACTATGAAAGCTACTACGAAAGGCGATGTGTACAGTTATGGGGTGTTAGCAATGGAACTTGCAACTGGAAGGCTAGCTGTGGATGGAGGGGAAGAATGCCTAGTGGAATGGGCCAGACGTATCATGGGAAATGGCCAAAATGGATTAGGTCGAGCTGTAACGCCAGTGGTGCTTTTGGGATCCGGGCTAGCTGAGGGGGCAGAGGAGATGTGTGAGCTGCTTCAGATTGGGGTCAGATGCACAGCAGAAGCTCCACAAGCTAGACCAAACATGAAAGAGGTGCTATCTATGCTAATTAGAATAACAAGCAGTGGGGAAGATTTCAATTATTGCATCTCATGATAGCTGGTTAAAGAACTCAAAGTGTCCATAGGTTAGGATGTCAAATAGTTTACAGATAAACAGGTTTAAAACACATAAATTTTCTTGTCATGATTCTTCTGTAAAGAGCCTTTCCCATTCGTTATGTTGAAAGAATTTAATCAATTTTGTTCCCAGTCAGTTTCATGGAAAATTTTAGCAATCAGCTTCTTTTATTTGTTTGTTTTATGGATGAATGAATTTCGAGAGTAAATAAACATGATTTTTCAATATAAGGCCTAGCAGTCTGATCAAGAAACCATGTCTGAGAACAATTTAAGACCTCTGGGAATCATTACAGTGTAAAATTTTCTAATTGAAGTAGAAATGAGCATTCATTATTCAACCATCTTGGCCTAAGTCCAGAACAATGATCACTGTACATATCTAATTAATGAGGTACTTAATTACTTTTCAGCTTCTGCTTTGAGCTGTGAGTCACCAAGTTTTCCAGCTTGCAGTTCAAAGAACTTCAAAAAGTGTAGAAGTTTCTTTTTGTGAATCATAAACAGCCGAAGGAAAGGAAAAATGATAAGAGTTTCTCATAGGATAACAGTGAACTTTTGCAGCATTGATGATAACTGATAAGGTATCTTAAGCTTAGCCCATCCAAGGATGCAGCCATTACTTGCTTTTCTCATGATTTTCAAGCATTTTGTCCCTTCAATCTTTATCTGGTTTGAGTTGGTATTTATTTTGGGAATAAATGTCACATCTTTTGCTTTTACAAAGTGAATTAAGTATGAAATATGAATCATCCAACGACCAAGTGTAACCAAATACTACATGAACATGCATGATGACTGATTAGCAAACCAAATTGGACTACAAAAGCCATGTGAGAAGGGCAGCCAACGTGCCAATTGGGTGGCAGTTCACAACAAGTGAAACTTGTCCGCAGGGGATTGGTTGTTCTCTCCTCCACACAGGCTTTAACAACTGATACACTCTTTTCTGTCGTAAGTTTGGATTACAGTATTTGTGGGTTTTCATTTCAAGCTTGAACCCAAAACAAAATGCCATAACTGAATAAAAGTCATCAAATTACAACTGTCCTGAAGGTTCATTCATGCCTGGACATGTTTGTTTAGTACATTATCAGATACCCATCTTTTTCTTCTTCTACTTAATCTCAACTGTGTTCTACGGAGAGAAAAAACAATGCCAAGATACAAAATTTGATCATGGACTCTGATTTCTCGTTCCACTGCCTTTCTCATTCCCAACAGTGTAAGCTGTCGTTTTGACACGTTTTTCGGTGAACAAAAATTGTGGGCTTAAATGATTCTTCTCTTTCCTTTTGCTTGCGTTAGGGTTGATTTTCTAGTCCTAATTCTAATTTTTTTTCTAGTTTCTTTGTTATTGTTAAATCGGTACCTTATATTCAATGATTTCTCTCATTTCAGTACATTTCCATTCCAATACATGATTCTTACTACAATCACCAAAGAACTTACAAAGTGAAAATGTTAAAGAGAATACAGTGGGAAAAGAAATGGCTGAGAAGAATTCAAAGTTCTATGAGCGTGGAGCGTGCAATCCAAAGAGAGCTGGCATATACAAGGAAGATTGAAGAGCATCCATTTGTTGACTCTGCAGGTGAAACCATGCCAGTGCAGGTGAGACCTTATATCATTTGAATAAGATGTTTTATGTCACTATTTTTAGGTTTAAGAAATTGGAAACACTGACTCCCATATATATGTTTCTTTGTACCATTGATATTCGGCTGTAAACTCACTTGTCATCCCTTACTTGTTTATCAATCTCATAAATAGGAGTTTTCTAGCTTGGTTCTCTCAGGTTGATTGATTTCTTTCTCGAAATGTACTTAAACCGTAAATTATTGACTATAAAGAGGCATTAAAAAGCCTTTTTAGAATTCGGAGTTCAGTTAATTGATTATGCAGTCACAAGATGACATTTAACATACCCGGAGTTCAAATCTTTTCCCTATCCCAGGCTGCGGCCTCCGTTGCAAAACAAACCTTCCTAATGTTTCCTAGAAAGATGCTAACAGCCCCACTAGTTCTTCTAGTCATACTAACCTTCCAAATATATAGAAAATTTATAGCTTTGTTCATATAGAAAACTATATATCTTTCATAAAACTGTAAAGAATATGCATGCTACCAACGAGGGGTTAATTCCTTCGCCTTGACAGTAAAAGGTCTTGGGTTTCAAACAGGTGAACCCTTGTTGATGCTATTCAGAATGTAAGCCCCGACAAGGTGAGTGGGGAAACTGCACATGCTGTGCCTAGCTTTTGGGTTGGAACAGCCAATTGTATCGAACTTTTATGTAACAAAAGATAAATGTATGCTTGCGCAACAGTATATTTATTGGTTGAAATTTGAATTAACAATTGCTATTTGGTATGTTTTCTGTTTGGTTTCTTTCTTATTTTGTCAATGGAATGTTTTATCATAGCAGGTGCAATTTCCAAGTCGAAACCCGTCAAGACCAAATCTGAACTCCAGTAATCACTTTCTAGAATAGAGCATCCAGCGTCACTGAGCAACCCTGAATGCCTGCCAGGTCCAAGACCAATTCAACATCCTTCTTCGAGGCCAAATAGCTGTTCAGGTCCTAGGATTTCTGAGAGAAAGCAATTAGCTTCATCAAGCAAGAGCCCACCTCAACAACTGCAACCATTTAAGGGTTGCAATCTCAATTATCAGTTACTCAATTTTTTCTGTGAGGTCTGCCAAGTGCCCTGCTCAGCTTCCCTTAACTATAAGCAACACATAAATGGTAAAAAGCACAAAGTTAAGCTTCAAGAACCAAAATATGGTAGGAAAGATGGCGGCGACACTTATGCAATGGAAAACCCGGAATCGTGGTGCAAATTGTGTAAAATTTGGTGCATCGATTATAATATGCTGAAGCAGCACTTAGCAGGAAGTGCAAGAAAATGCAAGAAAAGCTAGAACGCAATACAAAAGTTGAAGGTGACATAGTAAAGGAGCAGACCTGGTATGCATTGTGTTGCATTGATGCTCAAGTAAAGAGCTACTCCAGTTGCATTTTAATGGTAAGAAGCACCTAGCTGAAAAAAGAAAGCTAGAATGTGCCCAGAAAGGCGGTGAAGAAGCACAAAATCAGCGAAAGAGATGCAAACTGTGAAAGCACAAAATCAGTGAAAGAGATGCAAACGGTGAAATACTTGGTAACAAGAATTCATTGCAGATGCACTTCAGGTAGAAAAACCATTTCTTAAGTGAGCTAGAGGCGAAAAAGAGACAATGGCAAGACTTGATCAGAGATGAAGGAAACAGGAAGATGACAAACAACTATTAAATGGGGCATGACTGGAAGATAAAGTTGTTTCTCTCACTTGGCAGCTTGAAAAGAAGGAGCTATCTTTATTGGATCATGATTTTTGTTGCTGAATTTGGAAGAAAATTTGATATTATATATTTACATATGGTGAACGATAGAACTATGGACTAGAGCCAGAGTAGCCTCTAGCACTAGAGATGTGTTACCTAGAAAATTTTTCTTACAGTTTCTCGTATTTATATAGTGGACGGTACTGAGATGGGGTTCCTTAAAATTCAGTTCCGGCATGGGATTTGCTAGTATAAAGATAATAATGTAACTAATTCTGAGTTTTGCTGGTCTTGAATGTTACCTGTGCTAAAACATTGTTGAGCACCTATTAATCATCAACTAGTTTTTGCAAGTCAGCAGAAGGAATTTTGTGCCTTTACTCCAACTCAAGGGTGACCAACCAACTAGTTTTCGTGCTTGTGAGTAGACATCACTCTCTTGTATCCCATATTAGCTGATGGCCAGAAGGTCATATCTTTATTTAGGGTAAGAATATAGTAACAGTCCTGAATTCTAGAAATGTTATGACATCAGATATATATATATATATATATATGGATAATGCCAATGCTTGAAATGATTGATTTCTCATATCATTTTCTCTATGTAAAGAAGGATAGACGTAAATATCCAGACTACAATTAACTATATAGAAGCATAAGAACCCGGCTTTGTTAAACTGGAAAGAAGTTGAAAAACTTGCATAAAGTAGACGGGGAACTGGTCAGTCTTTCTGTACGATTTCAAGCATAGAACCTGCATGATATGCTTTAAACCTTCTTATGTTTATATTCTTTATTGTCTCGCGCAAAGGTATCATTTTAAATGATGTATTTTTATATTATATTGCTAAAATTGCTAGAGTTTGATATTCTTCTGCTAGGTTTGTCAGGTTTCCTGCTCTGGTGAATTACAAGCAACATGTATGAGGTCATAAGCACAAGGCCAAACTGTGCATATTGCCATTCAAGGGAAATGATGATGCAGGCATCACAGCTGTGAACTCGCAGAAAAGATGTGGACTGTGTAATATTTGGTGTATGAATGAATGAATTGTCATTCAACCAGCACTTGGAAGGTCAAAAGCACTAGGAAAAACAACAGAAGTTGGAACTTGCTGGAAATGATGCGGGATACATATTTGGTAAAGAAGCAAAGATTTTGGTGAGTTGTGGAGTTCATTTGACATGCGCCTTCAAGGCAAATATCATGCTATTGAACTTCATATAATTGACTGCGGAAAAAACCCTGGGGGTTGAACTTGTATATGAGGAAAGTAGAAGATATTCACCTTAAGCATGGCAAAAGCATTAGATAAGTATACTAGAGATGATCTGACTTTTTCCCTTAATCAGGTTTTTTTTTTTAATAAGTTGGGAATAGGAGAAGGGATTACAAGTGTTGGAATTGTTGGAAAATTAACACGTACATGTAACACCTACATACAAATTAGCAAACTGAAATTAGAATAAAAACACACGGCCCAACTTAAAATGATTTACTCTAAACCCAATCCACTAACAAATAAATCTTTATAACTGAGACTTTTGAAATTAGAAAAATCACTAAAATCTATTGACTCAAAATTTAACCCAAAATCCAATTATACCCTTTTAATATCCTATTCACTTAGCTATTTTCTTGATGTCTAACTATATGAGAATATCAAACTAAAATCAAACATTTTATTTATAAAGGTGAAACTCCTTATACCTTTACTAAACTCCCGATGTGAGATACAAAACAAACTTAAACTCTTATAAGTTCACTTACTTTTGATGTGAGATTATGGGATAAGATAAACCCCAACAAATTTTTCCTTGACTTGAATCTCTAAAAACTTGCACGGTATCTGTAAAGCTAACATGCTTGCCTTTCTTCTGCAAAGCTAACATGCTTGCTTTTCTTCTTTTCCTTCATCATAGGAATCCTAACAACTGAGCCTTCATCAAGCATGTACAAGTGATTTTTGATCCTATTTCTTTGTAAAATCACACTACCACTCTTGTACACTTTCAACCAATTATTACTACCATAGTATGTATACCCCTGAGAAGCTAACTCACCTAAAGTAATCAAATTGTAGCTATAACTCGGTACATACCTTACATGACAAAATGTCCTACCAACACCATTGTGAGATCTAAAGTGAACATTTTCAATACCTTAAATCTACACCTTTTCATTGTTGGAAATTATAATATCCCCATACTTCTCATTCTCTTCTAGTTTCACAAAGCAACTCTTATCACTACT